TATATAACCGTTGCAATATAGCCGTTAAGTAGCCGTTGGAAACAAATTAATGATATAATATTTGTTAGTTAATCATTCATGATTATAAAATTCTAATTAATCATGTATATTACCTTAAAAATTCTCCGAGTCATTATGTAAACAATTTAATAAATATAAATAACAAAGCAAATAAAAAAGATGTCACTCCACACTACTCGATAAATCTTTCGGTGGGTACAAGAATAAGCAGTTATAAATTTTACGTCACATTACTGGGTAAACCATTTTGTGGGTGTTAAGTATAAGTAATAATATTATTTATTATAACTTGAATAATAATTCATAAGTAAATTTAATAATATCATCTTACCACATATTATTGACTATGGCATAGCCTAATTTGTCAATAGTAATGGTAATGTGTAGATAATATCATATTTAGTATATCCATACCACATATCCTTGACTGTGGCAGAGCCTAACTTGTCATTGTCAAGAATAATGGTAATATATTCGTATTTAGTATATTCATACTACATATCCTTGACTGTGACAGAGCCTAACTTGTCAAGAATAATGGTAATATGTATATTCGTAAAATATACTAATTTTATGTAATACATATACATAGATATATTATTATTATTATATTCCTACCTTTTTGACCGGGTAGAGCGCTAGTGCTGATAACGTGTTATGAATATGGGAAAGATAAAGAACATTGATATGGTCCGAGATTGGTGGCTTTGGACTTGCGGAAGGTTCTTCCCGGTTATGATGTTGGTTCGCTTGATTCGGTCCGGTCCGAGCTTCAGTGTTCTCCGGTACCTGAAAGCGCGCCGGAATTTCTCCGGCGCAAGCCCTCCGACGCCCAAGTTAGGATCTCGGATTTTTAGAGAGAGAATTCAATGTAATAAATGTGGTATTAATGATATTAAATGAGATCTTACCCCTGTACCTGTGACACATAACGCATATATATAGTACTTAGTTGTACGGACTCCCTCTAAGCCAATAAGTCCCCGGCAATCTATCGACCAAATGTGATTCGGTCGATGTCGGGCTATATGGGTCGACACTCAATCGCTTTCGCCCTTTACTGCGTGACTGCTTCTGGACTCGACCTGCTCGACCACTTGAGTCGGTCGAGCCTCCATCGGCCCGCTCCCGTGTTCGACCATTATTGTGGGTCGAACATATCGACCAAGGGTCCCATGTTCGACCATTATACATTTAGGCCATTAAAACATTAGACCAGTAGACCGGTGGACCAGTAGACCATTGGACCAGTAGACCCTTAGACCAGTAGACCACTGGACCAATAGACAAGTAGACCAGTGGACCAATAGACCATTGGACCAGTAGACCCTTAGACCAGTAGACCGGTGGACCAATAGACCATTAGACCAGTAGACCATTGGACCAGTAGACCCTTAGACCAGTAGACCAGTGGACCAATAGACCAGTAGACCAGTAGACCAATAGACCATTGGACCAGTAAACCCTTAGACCAGTAGACCAGTGGACCAATAGACCATTGGACCAGTAGGTAAAGTCTAATGACCGAGTAGGCAAGTAGGCTTTCTTGTCCTCCATCTCATGGGTCTTTGTCCGGTTAGGCCGAGTCGGTATTATAATCCCTATCAAACATAATGTAAAAACTGGATATAAATTATAATATGCCTTTTCTTTCACTTCTTTCATGCAAACTTTACAATGCCCACTGGCCCCTTTTTATAGGGAAATTTTAAGCCTTCAATCATACACTAGAACACATTTCAATACACATTTCAATATAATAATGTAAAAGATATTATTATTATTATTATTATTATTATTATTATTATTAGTGGTAAATTTTACATATTTATAATAAGTAGAATTTTATAACAAATTTCAACGAGGAATTTACACCCTATACTTTCACATAATAATTATATTGCATATTTAACATCAGTTATTTTTTATTTTTTATTTAAATGCAACTTCAACACAAAAATAATTGCACATATACCTATGTTTGATTTTCTGAAGTCAACATATCAAACATGGAATATTTTAATTAAAATCTTTTCACCTTAATTTTTGCAACAAAACTGCTACCAGTTAATCCTAAACAAAAGATTTTTCATAAAATCACGATATCTCCCAAACCACCTATTCCCTTGGACCCCGGCTGCGCCAATACAACGGCGAGGCTCCGTTTCCTTGGCGTCGACTGGCACTATGACCGCAACGTCAATTCTGTCAGGCCTGAGGATCCATGTCGATCGTTGGTGGCGCTTCTCCCAAAATCTGTGTGGCCATGGCGGTCGCTGGGATTTAGGATGGCATGAAGGCCAGGCGTGGCGGAACTTTGCTTGGACTGGCGCAAAGTTCCAATTACAGGCTGGGATAGAATGGCGCAAAATTGAAACAGGCTGGGATCTCCAATTACAGGACTGGCGCAAAGTACCGACATTATAATTCAATTCTGGGATCTCCCAAAAATTTATCGTTCCAATTATGAGGGGGAAACAGGCTGTAATAGGGGCAAGTGGTCATAATTTGATTCTTTGTGCTTGCAACATTAATTTTTATAGTCCCTGCACATAATTTTTCAATCTGCAAGGGGATATTTCTAATTGTTATAGAATTCTTGTTCTGTCCTTATTATTGTCGTTTGACATTTTGAGTTGGAATTCATAAGGCCACACATTGTTGTAGCAGTGATTATATAATTGAGAAATTTTTATCTATCCTACAAATTTAGATTTATTTGAGAATTGATGTTTCTTTTTTCTGTTTTTTTTTTTATTTATAGTTTATGTTGGTTATATTAGAATATTTTGTTTGTTAGAAAACGAATTTGACAAAGCATAAGCTATTTTTTTATATATGTATGGTATATATTCAGTATATGATAAAAAAATTTATTCAAGACATAATTTTTTTGTATAAAATCAATTTATATTTATCATAAACTAATTGCAACATATACTGAATATATACTAACATAAACACAATATATATCATCTGACAACTGTGTTAATTAAAGAATTCCAGTTGGGTACATATACTGAATATATACTAACATAAAGGCAACATATACGGACTTTCAAACTCAACATATACTTCGTGAATTCCAGTTGGGGACTTTCAAACTCAACATATACTTCGTGAATTCCAGTTGGGCACATATACTGAATATATACTAACATAAAGGCAATATATACTGACTTTCAAACTCAACATATACTTCGTTGTAGCTGCAATTTTTACGAAAAAAAATACTCAAACACAACATATACTGTGAAATATATGTTCAATATATATTTGGTATATATACATATAACATATTCAGTATATCCTATATATTCAAGCTACAGATGGTTTAAATTTGAATTGAAGAATATCCTATATATTAGGAGATATACTTACCATTATTTTTACATTTTTTTTACACGTAAAAAAAATCGTTGCTTTATAAATCCCTTGATTTAAGGAATGATTGTTTGTTGAGGTAACTGAAATATAGTCGTATCACAAATTAATTGCATGCAGCTGGTATGGTTGAAATTAAATTGCTCTCAAACGTATTCTTGCAATAAAGATTAATTCGTTCAGCATGGAAAACTTTCCCAAATTCAACTAAGTGACAACAATGGGCCAATGGATGAGGGCGGCCCATCCCGATAAGGCCTGATCTAGATGGATCGGGTCATGGGTCAACCGTTCTATTTAGGATTCCTACGTCTATTCGATTTTATAATGCACAGTTCCACACATCCCCCTATATATTAATACAGAACGCGCTGAGCCTACGTGGCTGCTTCTGGTGCTTCGGAATCCTATGTGGCAAAATTACATGCTTCGTTATTAGGTTTGGATAAATTTTAATTTAATTCCAAACCAAAAATAATTAGGTTCGGATTACAATAAATATGTTGATTATTTATGATCATATTACATGTATTAATTGCATTTTAATATCATTCTTTATTATAACTATTGAATTGTATATATATTTTAAAAGTTAATAACTTTTGTATTTTTTTATCAGTTTTACATATGTAATATATCAAATTAATCTTCTTTTGATGAGTTTCGATTTAACATCCATATTGTATGTATAAAAAAAATAATTTATACTTATCTTTATAACAATAATAATTTTTTTTTTAATATTAATTAGAAAAATAAAATTATTTATCAACTAATATATTTATATTTCAAGTAGTTATATGATTTAAGTTATAAAAACTAATATAATATAACACATGTAAGTCATAAGCAACACATATCATTCTAAACTATAGAGTAATATATTTTTTTTTTGTAAAAAAGTAAACTAGATTTTTTAGTTTTCTCATTAATTTTAAAATTTAAGAAAAAAATTTTAACAAGCACCCGTGTAATACACGGGTGGGTGTTGTACTAGTATATATTCATTCCTAATCTCCGAATCTGAGTAAAATTGGCAGCACGACCTAATTAAGACGTAACACGTGCCCGCCGCACGAACCCGGCACCAGCCGCCGACCCCGGCGCCACCAGCGGCCGTCACCTGAGGAGGATCAGAAGCAGAAAATACTCAGATTTCGCCGAAGAACAGGTTCGGTCCAAAAATATCCATCAGCTTTTGTACATTGATGCGAATTAAATAGTAATCAAACTGGTTATCAGGTGTATTTTCCTCATATATTACCAGCTAATCTCTGTTAAGATCAGTTTAATTTTGAATTGCCCCATGTTGATTTTGCTGGTTGGTAATTAGGTCACGGATTAGGATTCCAGTTTTGTGGCGCAAGTTAAATTCAACCTCTGAATGTGACCAACTGAGAATAGGGATTAGAATTTCATGTGGACAGATACAGAAAAAGAGTTTGCAATTGATTACAAACGTACAAACTTTGTTGTTTTGATCTGCACAATAATGTCTCAATCAATTGATGAAGCTCCTCTTGAGGCTTCAATTCCTTTTTGTCGTTAAATTTTTGTGTTTCCTTTTGTGAAATGGAGTTTGTTTGGGTGATGATATGGAAAGATCTCGTTTTAATTGTCTTTATATATTCTTGAGATTGATTAACATGCATGCATACATTTCCTTTCAACTAATTCGCAATTGCCATCAATCTCAATTCCTTGTGATTGATGTGATGTGATGTAATCATGAATTAAATTAGCAATCTTCGATCTAGATTCCTTGTGTTGTTATGTAATCATCATCATCATCATAATGTGGCCAGCCAACAAGATGTCATCCTCGTCATACGCACCGTGCGCCGCTTGCAAGTACCTCCGAAGAAAATGCACTCAGGGATGCATTTTCGCACCTTACTTCCCACCCGACAACTCTCAAAAGTTCATCAACGTCCACAAGGTGTTCGGCGCAAGCAACGTGGGCAAGATCCTAAACGAGCTTAGCCCCGGAGGGCAGAGAAACGAGGTCGTAAAGTCACTTGCTTACGAGGCAGAGTGTCGCATCAAGGACCCAATCTATGGTTGTGTGGGCCTCGTCTCCCTTCTCCAACACCATCTCTGCCAGGTCCACCAAGAGATCGATTGGGCACGTCAAGAGCTCGCCACTTACATCGGCTCAGCCGCCGCTATGCAGCCACACAACTTCAATTTCAACCAGGCAGCCGGACAGCAGCTCGCCGTGATCCAGGAGCCTCAGCTGCAGATGAGTGCAGCTCTGGCTCCTGCTCACGAGCAGCAGCAGCAACAGATGTACGTTCAACAATTGCAGCAACAACAACAACAACAGATTTACGTTCAACAACTTCAGCAACAACAACAGATGTACGTTCAACAGCAACATAATGATATTGTGAGGTTCGGCGATGCAAGAAATCCACAAGCAGGAGCATTCGGGCATATACCAGCTGCAATTGTGGCCACCGGTGTGGAGGCAGAGATTGCCTTGGGTGGTGGTGGTTCAATTGAGGAGGTAGTGGCTGAGGCTGAGGCGGAGGCTGTGCAGACTTATGAGTATCAAGTACGGTAACTAACCAACCGCTCGTTTGGAGGATAAGGCAGAACGAATTTTGAATCTACATGTTGCGGTGATCATCTCGGTTGGGTGGGTTAATTCCCTATGTGGGCTGATATGGTTGGGAACATGACTAAAATATACAATCTCGTCGCCGTAGGAAATGAAGAAAATCGAGCTAATGATCAATGTTGGTTGTTAGAATATAGAAACTCATAAAGTTGGGGGTGTGTTTGATTCCCAAACATGTAGCTAGCTAGTATTTTGTACTCTCACTACCTTTTTGAGTTTGGTTTCTTGATGCCAAAGTATGTTTTTGAATCAAAGTTTGTTCTTTCATTAAACTTTGTTTGTTGGCATTTTTCTTAGATTGATTCATATCATGTCTTTCTTAGTTTCGTGATAATATGTGTGTTGTTTTTTGTTTTCTATGTCAAATGTCATTAACCTTTCATTTACATCTACAAGTAAACACATACACCTCACAATGCTTGAGAACCATACTACAATACATACACAATAAGACATCACACCAATCCCAATATCCTTTTTCAACATACTTTTATTCAAAATAAAGAATCCAAATGAATGCGTCTCTAATATCGTTTTTCTAACACACTTTTATTCAAACAAAGAATCCAAATGAAAATTACATCTCTAATACATCTCTAAGCAAAAAGTATTGAGTAATGAATCACATATTTCCATTTACAACCATCCTCTGCACAATTTTCATTTTTCCTATTTTTCTTCTAATATCTCGTTGATCTTGTCTGTGCATACTTTCAATGTATAAATAGTTACAAAAACCTATATGAAGATTATACCCCAGGTTGCCCATTCGAACTAAAACATCACCTTCCAGAATTAAAAAAATCTTATTAATGTTACATAATTTTTTAAAAAAATTATGATTTTTTTTCTTAAAAAAGTTAATTCACTCGTAACTGTTAATATAAATCTTGACTTACGATCAGAATTTTTTAAAAAGTTAATTTTCACCTATCTAAATACTAATATTTTTTTTAAATATCATTAACATTTATAATATTGGAGATATTTCAAACATTATTTGGACCAAGATTAAGGAGCTATATATATATATATACTAGTTGGCTCACGCCGTGCACGCACGGCGAACTCAAATTTAGTCTAAAAATAGAGTGAAATTTTTTCAATTAGGTTGTGCAGGTGCAACTAGCTCAAATTTAGTCTAATAGAGCTTAAATTTGCCCAGCAATAAATGATTGTCCAATTATGAGATTCAAAATAACAACTAACCATGATAGTTAAAATAACATGCCAAGTGCATTTCATTGAATATTGATGTCCGTGCCTGTCTATCTAATTATTTCTCTTGAATTTCTAGTCAAACATAACACTAATAAACATAAGAACATACATACTAAGAGTGTGGTGAAGGCGAAATTGGTTGGCCAGACGGCCCAGACCGAATGTCGTTCTCCCCTTCCATCGAAACCACTTACCAATAGATCTAAAATCAAAACAAATAAATTAGTTTACAATTGATGGACTCATCACTTGACTTTCTTTTTCCACGCAAAATGGCTGGATTATAACAAAACAACGAAATATAAAATGATTAAAAGCGGATCAAACGAAACACATTGAGCATCACACATATTTATGCATATTAAAATAGTAAAAAAAAAATTGTTGATTGAAACAACCCCATAAACTCCAACTGACTTAACCCTCCATCAATTAAGATTTTTCATCCCCACAAATAAAAATAAAGTGTAATAGA